TGATAAATTCTAAGTGTTCATTAATATCAGGAATTGCCAAAGAGAACCATATATATCCATATTTCTTATAGCAGAAAGTCACATCTAAGGAAGGCAAACACTTGTATCATAAAGTCACAGAAGTTGTCTTTAAAATGGAGGAAAACTTGCTTTTATTTAAATAATGTGTCAATTCATAGTAAAAGCATGATAAATATGAACATGAATTCAAAACAACCCATTTCTTTGCTCCATCATAGCCAGAAGATGAATCTTGGTCTCAAAAGAGTTCTTGGGGCAATTACTCTGGGGCACTGAGTCCCATGCACTCTTATTCATTATAAACCACCACCCTCACAGCACACATAGAAGGCCCCGGATGTCTGCCAACCCCAGGGCAGTGGTACCAGGGTTATTCTTTCTCACAGTGGGCAGTGCCACTCAACACTTGGCAGACCATGGTGACCGGGTCCACAGCAATACAAAGAATGCAGTGCATTTGTGACCTTGAAGGTGCTGTGGATTGTTGCCTCACACTTGAAAAATAATAAGCAGTCAAAAACATTTTTCATTCAGTTTGATTTTCAACTCCCAGCACAGACAGCCAAACAAAGTTGCCTAGGTCCTCAGTGTTTTCCCCATGAAGAATGATTTCCCCCCCTAAGATCCTTGAGAAAGGGAGAGGGGACAGGTATAGAGAAGAAGAGAGAAAAAGTCAGGTGAAGAGGGAAAGGACACAGCTCTTGATCTCGTACAGAGTTTGGATGAGTTTCTCAACCTTGCAAAAGTAGAGAGAACAATGTCCCTTCTCCATACTGAGGGTATGAAGTCTGGTTTAAGAAATGGGGTTCAGGGCCTCCCTGGTGGCGCAGCGGTTGAGCACTGGCCTGAAAAGCTGCCCGCAGCCTCTGCAGCACCGGTTTGATCCCCAGCCACCGGGCGAGGGTCCCACATGGCACGCAGACCCCTCCTGCCGCCCGCTGCTCCCCTCAGCAGTGTGTTTCGTCAGTCTGCCTGTTCTGCTCCCCGCGTTGGCGCTGGTGAATTCTCTCACCCTCCCGCGCTTCTGACTGTACCCAGTGCTTGTATAAATAAATTAAAAAAATAAAATTAAAAAAATAAACTTTAAAAAAAAGAAATGGGATTCACCTCCTTTGTTAGGTTTAAAATATTAAAATATTTAGAAATATCATAAATATATAATACATACTATACCAAAGTAAATCAAAATAAACCCTAGGACTCTGACTGCAGAATTAAAGTTACCAGAAGGTGGGGGAAGGGGAAGAAGGCAAAAAGGGGGCAGGGACCCAGTAGACTATGGCGGAGGACTGTGTACTTTGGTTGTGGAGAGGGAGTGGTAATATAAATTTTTTTTAATTCCTTTATTTATTTATACAAGCACTGGCTACAGTCAGAAGCACAGGAGGGTGAGAGAATTCACTAGAGTCAGAGCGGGGAGCAGAGCAGGCAGACTGACGAAGTATACTGTTGAGGGGAGCAATGGGCAGCAGGAGAGGTCTGTGTGCCATGTGGGACCCTCACCGGGCGGCTGGGGATCAAACAGGCGCTGCAGAGGCTGCGGGCAGCTTCGCAACCCAGCGCTCAACCACTGCGCCACTGGGGAGGCCTGGTAATATAAATCTTAATAGGTGTGCACCTATACATCTAAATCATAAGCAGTGCTGCAAACAATGTTTTCTCAGTAAGAGGAACTTTGTAAAAATGCACACTATCTGGCCAAACCTCAAACACACTGAATCAGAATTTCTATTTGAACAAGGTGCCCCGGTGATTCTCATGCACACTGAGGCTGAGAAGCCCTGCTCCAGAGTCACTGGAATCAGCAGGTGGACAGCTAATCCCTTTCTACTGAGGATGTTTACTTCTTTGCTGCAAATAATCTTATCACTATTTCTAGTAATACAATTTCTAGTGCACTTGGAGGGAAAAAAATGAACTTTCAATTCCTGTTCTGCTCCTTGGTAACAAGTTACTGAATTCTGAGTAACTTCTTTGTACCAAATACACACACACACACCACACAAACACATACGAGAAAATCTGTTTTCCTGATATCCAGGAAAGGGTCTAGCACATGGCTGAAAATTGTTTCTCATGCAGTAAGGAGGTCCAGGACCTGCAAACATTTCCTCAACTCAGAAAGAACAATGCCAGTTTTCCCAAAGATATTTCATCCAATCTCAACAAAAGTCATGACAGATATTTTTTGGTTGTATAAAATTGCCATAAAGTCCATATGGAAAAAGAAACCACAAACAAAAGAAAGACAAGTGTTAGAATAGGAGACTATGAAAGAATGTATAAAATTCTACAGAAAAATTTTTTGAAGAACAACACATAAAAACATGTTTAACTGCAGAGTTATTTCATAACAAATACTATCAACAGACAGACAATAAGGCAAACCTAAATTATAAATATGAACTATTTAACAAAAGTGAAGTATGAAATGAGACAAATGAGAATATGTAAATACAGAAGAATATTATGCTGAGTGATAGTAGGCATGGAAAAGAAATAGAATAATACTGAGATATCAATTCACACCTTTTCAAATTGGGAAAAATTGAAAAGTGCTATAATACCAACAAGATAGCAGCAAATACCTTATGATCATTTAATGGGTAATATTGGTGCTATTCTTTCTAGGGGATACATTCTCAGGACAGGATTACTGACTCAAAGAGAAGTAGCAAGGGCAGTGGTAGTAGTGGCTTTAATCGTAACAATAACAATTCCTATTATTACTATTACAAAGGACTCCTTTGACTCAGCATTTCACATTCATGTAATCTATCAATACTTTAGCATCACTATTGTAATAGTAACAACTGCAAGTATTATTACTACTATAATTACTACTAGTAATAGTTCAACTATTACTTTGTAGATAACACTTGCCTTTGTTCTAAGTGTTTTTTATATATATATATGTTAACACTAGTCCTCATAAAACTCTTAAAAATAGGAACTTTCATTTGCTATTTTATAGGCGAGGAGCCTGAAGAACTAATGTACTTGACAAACTTATGAAGAACTATATAAACATTAACTATTTTGTCAACGAAGTCAGTACATATCTTTAAATTCAGCAGTCCCACTTCTGCATCTTTAACCCAAAAGTAAAAAAAAAAAAAAAGTAGCAAAAAATATGGGGAATATATATATGAATGAACATGAACATGGGTGCATGTAGACAGGCATAAGAACATACATCTTTGGAGTAAAGAAAAACAGGGATACGTACTGGGCAGTTAACATGGATTATCTTTTGGGAGGGGAGATGACACTGGGGAAAGAGGAAGGCTGGAGAAAGGTGAAAACTGTCACAGTAAATTAGAACATGTGTACCAAAAAAATGAGAAAGTTAAAGTGCAGGTTAGCAACAAAAAGAACATTTTAAATTCTTTGAAGACACTACACTGGAGGAGTTTAAAGAATAGTTGCTTTAAAGCAAATTTCACTACTCAGAAGAACAGTATGTTTGTTAAATGACTTGAGATCTCCCCCCCCATAATATAGATTATTAAGAAATTTTCCAAAGAAATACCATATGTTGAACAACCCCCCCAAAAAAAATTTAAGTAATTCCAAGGTTAAAAAGTCAGTAAATGTCCATATAAGGGCATTATCTGAGGGTGAGTTCTGCCCCTGGGCCATCACCATCAGGGCTCTCAGACATTCAGCAAGTCACTGACTGACTGAGTTTTCTCATGTACAACCAAAGGGTGTTCAACCAGTTCACCCTAAACCCTCTTTGGGTTATAAAAATGCGATGCTTCTATAATTAAAGAGCATAAAATAGAAAAGTGCTAAATTAGTGAGCAGGAGCGATAATAATTACTCATTTTGAAGAAACAAAGTTAGAAATCTTAATACCTTAAACTAGCAAGTAATTTAATGATCCACATAAAATGTACCTTTTTAGAATCAAAGAAAGATCAATCAAAGATCTTTTAGAAAAAGATCAATCATAGATACTGCATTTCCAAGTGGATGAATTTATTGCTGAGTGAAAATATGTTGCCAGTTTAAATATCTTTCAGATTACTTATTAAAGTCTTAATTGATCACCTTAAAATAGAGTCATTCAAAATATAATCCCTTCGAAAACACAGCCCTGTGGGGAAGGCTGGTCAATACAGTCAGTCGGACAAATAAAATTATGCATTAACATTTTTAGCAGAAGATTTTGAATATAAAATGTAGTAAAACACAAAATTAGCACCCCCAACTCTGCTTAAGCATGACAACTTCCTGAAATAGCATTCAACTTTAATTTCCACGTTTTCTTCATAAGTTTTATTAAATAATAAACTGATTATTAATAACAATAAAAAATGTATGCCTAGGTGCAAAGCATAACAGGTCAGCAGCTCATAGGGCATGAAGATTTCCAAGAGCTTGTTAAATTTTATGTGTTTTATTTCCTCAAATGACTATGGGATTTTCCAAAAGCACGTACAAAATTCCTTAAAACTTCGCCAATTTAGAAACAGTTACATGAAAACCACCTTTTCCGACTGCATGGAATCTCCTGGAAAAAAAATGTATCCAGTCTTTTGATAGGATATCCTGGGTATGAATTCCTACAAAAACAGTAAGCTTGCTTGCTCCAACCAGATTTTCTAGGCTAGGATGACGTAAGGAAACAATCTATGGCTTGCACAGCTATCTGAAATTCCTGAAGAGGAGACGTTCCCTCGGTAGTGGGTCATAATTTTCTTATCTCCAAGCACGTGCACTTATTTATACCCCCAGATTAACTTCAAGTCTAATTTTACTGCCACTAGTGTTCTGGGGTGGATTTCTATTTTCTGATTAGAAATGGAACTTGAGAGCTAGATCAAAGGCATTTTAAGGAAAAAAATCTACTTCTCTGAAAAATAAAGGGTGTGATCGGACGCAATTAATGAATGCTTAGCCCTGCCCTGGGGCGCGTGACGCGGCGGCCCAGCCATCCCCACCTGTTGGTGCAGCAGGACTGTCTGACTTACCCAAAAGAGCAGATTCAGCGCGTACAGCAGGCAGCGCAGGCACTTCACGGAATCTTCTCTGGCCATTGTGAGCGTGGGGAGGGAGAAGCCCCATCCTTTCACCACATCCTACCCCCAAGAGCAAAGCGGCAGCGATCTGCAGGGGGCAGGGAAGGACAGGGGACTTTTCACCATCGCTTTCCCCACCCCCAGCCCCCCAGGCCCCCATCCCTCCTCCGCCCGCCCGCCTGCAGCTAGGTCCAGGGTCTGCTCCGAAGCCAGGACACACGAGACGCTGCTTCCCCGAAATCATTTGTTAAAAGTTTTAACAGTAACCTAAACTCTCAAAAGTTCCAAATCGGCTTCAGATAACACCTGTAGGTAAAAGACTGACTCCCGCACGAATGCTGGCTCACGGTAAACGCCCCTTCTCAGGGGACACGCGGCGGGGTCCTCTGCATTCTGATGCGCCCTCTGCAACCTCCCCCAGTGCACCACCCTCCTCGGGGACAGCTCTGCTCCCAGCAGTCCCGAAAGTTAGAAGCCACACTACCCCGCGGAGCCATCGCAGCCCGGCCTGAGGGTCCGAGGGTGCGCGTGTCCCAGGACAGATCCAGGGACCTCCAAGTGTGTGCGCGCACACGCGCTCGCGCCCCGACCCGACCCGCAGCTCCTGGGTGCCCGCGGGGCGCTGGAGGGGGCGCAGCGCTGAGCTGAGGTTCCGCCCGACAACTAGGGTTTCCTTGGGAGAACGTGAGAAATGATGTTTCGACCCCGCGGTGATGGATTAGCCAGGGGCGGGGGTCGGGGGGCGGGGAGGGAGCAGGGGAATCCGGGCCGGTGCAGCTGTGCAGACGCCGGGCTTAGCCCTTCCCGGTCCCCTCCCCCGGCCCCGGCCGCGACCCCGCGCTCGGACCCGCCCGCGGAGCACAAAGCCGAGCGCGGCCCCCAACCCCGGCCACCAAGTCCGCGCGCCCCCGGCAGGGCGCGTGGGGGAAGCGCGGGCGCGGGGAGCCCTGGAGCCAGCCCCTAAGTAGTTTAGCACACCCCGCGGAGGGCAGGCGGGACGGGAGCAGGAAGACGAGAGTCGCGCGGCCACTCACCGTCGGCGCCAGGCTCCCGGCCCCGCTCCCGCCCGGGCACGGTCCGAGACGCGCCGCGGGGGCTCAGCGGGGCAGGGGCGCTCCTCCCGGGGAGCCCCAGGGCTGCATGGGCTCGAACTGCAAGCGCTTCCTTCTCTTCCTCTCCCCCAGCCGCCGTCGCCGCCTCCTGGGAAAAAGGAAAAAAAAAAAAAGAGTCCTGGGCAGCAGTTGCTGGAAAGTCTCCGCTAAGCCACCTCCCAGCGCCGCTGTCCCTCCCAAGTCCTCGCCAAGTCCGGACGAGGCAGCGGCGGCAGCCAGGGCCAGCTGCTCCAGCTCTCGGCGCATGCTCGCGCCGCGGGCTGCGGGGGCTGGAGCCTTCGTGGGTGTTTCTTGTCCCCTCACCCGGCGGGAGCGCCCCCGGGGGACCCCGCGCCTCTAAGCGCACGGTCCTGAAAGAGATGAAACCTGGAGAGTTTGCAAGTCCGCGCAGAAGCCCCCTTTAAAACGGCGGTGTTGGAGGAGCAGAGGCTGCGTTATAACCAAGAGGAAACAGACTTTTATTATATGAAAATATTTGCGTTTGAGAAGGGGGGGTGAAGGGGTGGCCCAACCCAATTCCTGCAACGAGAGACTAGTTTTCACAACCTTCTGGAACCACCTCCTGTGATTTGTCACTAACATGGTGCCCTGTGACCCTTCTTATTGCTTTGTCGCCCTCCTTGATTTAAAAAATAAATAAATAAAAACAGTTCTTGCGCCCTCCCACAGTGCACTAATAGCATTTACGTAAACACTGGGGTAAACGTGTTCAGGTCTTACATCCAGAATAGAAGAAAATAGTTTTTTTTTTTAAAAAAAAACTCATAAGGAATACAAAATTTTCTACCACTAAGATTGTTTGAGTTACAACTGAATGATTTATCTTGAGTTGTCTAGACACTAATGGATGATTTAATATTTTCTAAACTAGATATTCAGGAAATATTAACGTTCTAAAGGGAGACTTCTTGGAAAGTATCTTCCCTTTTGGAAACAAATTTCACACTTAAAAATTATTCAGTCATATTCTTTGTACAACTTTTTGATACTTATACTTTACAAGTTTCCACATTTCTATGATTACTTTTATGCACATGGTGTAGCAAATAAAACTTCACTGACAATATGAATTAGCTGAAATATGAGCAACAACTTTGAGAAAACCTAAAAATGGGTGTCCCCCTTAAATTTCCTTGGGGGCAAAGCTGAAAGCAAAGTCCTGTGTTCATCCTTACCTGTCTGTGGTCCTTACTCACTGTGCCTCATGAGTGACAGTGAGAGACACACTCATTGGGGCAGAAGTAAAATGAAAACCAAAAGAGTACCTGGGTATTCTGGGTAGGGTAGGAAAATTCTTAATAGGTCCCCATGCCATTTGTAAAGCAGTTAGCCCCCAAAAGGACAAAGTCAGCCATCTGTTCAGAACAGGAAGCAAAATGTCCAATCATTCCTCAGATAACTAACTGGCAAAAAGTACCTTTTGGAATCATGAAGAAAAGATATCCACTTGTATACTTAATCAGTTTTGTTTTTGTTCTTTTGACTCAAATTAGGGTAAATGACAATTCTAATTCCTCTAATGATTAGAAATGGAAAACATCCCCACATTGAGAGGAGTCTATTAAGATAGAAATTAAATTAACATTAAAATGTCATTAAAATGGACAAAAAGAGGGCAAACAATTTCCACATCTCTGATAAGAGATCCTCTGCTATTTGTATAAAGTTGTGATGTGTCTTTTAATTAATCGACCTTTAAGGATGAAAGAATAATAAAACTTTAGAGGAAGGTACTTTACAAGTATTTGTGCTTCCCCCTCTATTTAGTCAGTAAAGAATATAGAACCAAGAGAGGTTTAAAGAGTTGCTCAATATTTCATCTTCATATCAGATTCCAAACTAAAATCCAGAATAACTCTCTAATGAATATGCTAGTTCAATGATTCTCAAAATTGCTGTTACTAAGAATTGCTTGAGCAGTTTTGACAAAATCCTGATGTCCAGGCTATACCCCCATCAATAAATTGGAGGTGACCTGGGCATCTAGATTTTTCAAAATTCTTAATGTAATTTTAATCTATAGCAAAGTTTGGAAGCCATTGTTCCTTGCATTTTACAAATACCTAAAAACTAGCAAAGATTTAGCTGAGTCAAGGATTAGCTGGATCAAATCTCTCACCTGCGAGAGATTCCCATTTTATAAGCCAAGAAGAAAACAGTCATAGCCACTGCTCTAATATTCCTGATAGTCATGAAACTTGCAATCCAAATTTCAGTAGAGGAGATCTCAGCACATTTGAGGCATTGCCATACTGATCAGTTCTGATGGATTGAATCTAACCATATCTTCCTTTACCTTCTACCCCTCAACTTTAGTTCTGCCTTGTGGAGTCTACTGAAGCAACAATCCTTCCTCCAATCTGACAGCCCTTCAACTCCTTGAGGGAAGCTGCTACTTCCTCTCTCTCGGATTCGTCTCTTCTCCAGGATTATGGACACACAAGTAAGACTTGACATCACAGCTGTCATTCTGTAAGTTCTACATTATTCTCAATAAGAATAACATTTTTTTTGTGCAGAAAGAGAGGATAGAGAAATCCTAAATCGGGCATGATAATTTCAACATAGAAGGACACATTACAAAGATTATATGATCTATTCATTTTGTCCCTGAAATAGAAACCCAATTCTGTGGCCAGTTATGCTTCATTAAATACCTTTCAAACATGTGTCACGTAATGAAGTTACTAATAAGGTAGGTCCATATCCTCCAGGCAAAAAGCAAAAACTATTCTTTATAGTTTAGATAATAATTACAGGTACTATTTGTGAGCTATCCGTTATGTGTGAGTTCCAGAGTCAGGAGTAAAATGCAATATGCAGTCAGGTAATGCAAGTTCTTCCCTCTACAAGGTTGTTCATTTGTTCCCACATTATTTCATTCATTCTGCTCGGGTTGTTTAAAAAGAAGGAGGAACATGGGCATTTGCTTGGTGAAGGAGTTTCTTAGTATAACACACTTACTGTATACCTAAGGAAATTCTTTACAATCAACACAGGGAAAAAAAAAAAACCTAATATGTTTTGAGAAGGTACATATGCCTGACATACAGGTGCTTCTCAGAATGTATTGTGCCCATCCTCATCACTACACAATAAGCCACAGAGACTCGGCTGATTTCTCCAGAGTCATACAGGAAATAAGAAAAGAAATTGAGATTCTAAGATCTGTCTGACTCTTTCTGTTTGTCTACATTACAATAATATTTCAAATTTAAGTGAGGATTCATTGACAAGTCTCAAGGAGAAAGATATTGTAAGCATTTTTACTAGTTCTTGAGAATGTGAGACTGAATTTCAAATGCCTATGCTCAAGCTATGCATGGAAAAAAACTACTTTCACTTTTTACCTCTGAAATTCAACCTGATAAGTCTTTCATCACTGAATTAGGTAAACTGTTCTTGATTACAAGTTTAAATTTAGATTTCTTTAGTGTCCCATTAGATTTAAATTTTAGACAAACAACAAATTTCTGGTATAAGATGTTCCAAATAGTGCCTGGAGTATACAGATACTAAAAATTATTCAATGTTTGTATGAAATTCAAATTTAACTACATATCCTAACAGTTGTATTTTCTAATCCCGGCAATCTTATGCAAACTAGAAAATTCAGCAAAAAGTTCTACAACAGCAAGTGGATGTATTATTACACATAACAATTCCAGAAGCAGTTATTTATCCACTCAACAATAATATCAAGGAATCAGTTCTTTTTCTACCTTACTCTTCTGATATATACCATGTGTCAGTTATTGTCTTTGGGCTACTTCTTGTCATGATCAAGATGGCTGTGCATTGTACCCAGTTACTACTTCTAGAGGAGGAAAAAACCATTTCTTCCTTTGGGTTGCCCTTAGGATCAAGTATATCTCACCCAGAAGTTTCACTACACATTATCCCTTATGACTCATTTGGTGCTCGTGGATGATTCATTTCACACCCTTGAATGAACCAATTATTGGCAAGGAGTATGGGTCTACTGGTACTGATTCAAGATACATTCCATGTGCCTGGGGCAGCCCTTTGCTGCAGCACATGTCCAAACAGAGGAGTTTGACTCAACATAACCAAATACTTGTTTGTACTGAAGAGTGGAAAAATGTATAGATGCTACCTTCCACTCTCCTGTTCATTGCTAGAACAACCCAGCTGCCTGCCCACTACTTCTGTGGCACTGCTTAGCAAGGACCATTCCTTCCCAAGAAAGCTACTGATGTAAAAGTCTACTGCCAAGAGCAAAGGCCCCTAAGAAAACTCAAATCACATCAATTCCCTCCCATGTCGTAACACTTACATCCTGCATACCCCTTTGCATTTGTACACCAGACTACTGACGAAAAGATTAGCCAAACCAGCACCCTCATATAACCCCCCAGGACACTTTCCTCTAAAGTTTATCCATACTCAGCACTGTACACAAAGTTCAAAGACTTGGATTAATTCACCAGCTGATATGGGTGCAAATAATCGAGTCCCAGTCAATAAATATTTATTAAATTGTTACTGTAAACACGGAACTCTGCTAGGAGAGAGCCAAAGCTCTAATGTTAGTTTGCTTCTCAAAGGATTTATAACTTCATTAGCATATTTCCCTATCAGAGACCAAAACTTACAGAAATTAGAAATTTTGTCTCTCTGTAATTGGTTGTAATTTACAGTTCTTTGAAACAAACTGTAAAGAACAGAAGGGAATCCAGTCTCCATTTACAAACCCTACATTTCTTAAAAAGATTCCTCTGGAATTACTCCATTATACCACTACATCAGCTTCTTGACATACCCACAATACAACAAGTAGGAGAAAGATAAACAAAAAATTACCATGACTACTAGGCGTTATTCTTCACCTGCTACCATTTTGATTCACTTACTGTGTTTTAAAATGTTTAGGTTTCCCCAACATTGCATTAATGAAACATTTACTTAACACTAGGCAAAATATTTAATTTTTAAAAAATATTTTTAGTTAGCTAATCCAAACTCACAAGAGTTCTTGTCCTACCAACCATCTTATGTAAAAAAATAAAAAAACTGTGATTTTGTGATTATAATTCAAGTCTTACAAAAGTTTTGTCCCTGAAATTTAGATTTTCTATTCCAGTGTTACTGTATACATGGTATTTGTCATGACCATGTATGGCAAATTTGAGGCATAGTGACTTTTTTTTTTTTAAAGATTTATTTATTTATGCATACAAGAGCTG